CCTGTTTGCTTCAGTGCATGGCTGCCGGCCGCCATCTTGGCTGACAGTTAATTTGCATAAGGATATGCTGATTAGCCGATGGGAAGGGTAGCGGTCGTACGCTAATTACCATGTTTCTCTTTTATTAGTGTAGATTTCAGGGATTCATAGCCAATAGCACACTTTGTCTCTCCAGTCTTTTTTCTGTTACTTGTGCATTTTTAACAACAGCACCAAAGAGAAGACAAGGGGGAAGTTCAGATCCATTTATGTACCTTGTGAAAGTAGTTGGGAGGGAAGGCATATTCATCCTAGTTGTGGATTTTATGGATCTTAAACTTTAAGGCTCCAGTTTACTTGGACATTTGGCTAAAAATTGCCCCTCTCCTTTTCACAGGCCACTGAAGGACCTTGCAATATGCCCAAACCAGGTGTGTTTGACTTTATTAATAAGGCCAAATGGGATGCATGGAATGCTCTAGGCAGTCTGCCCAAGGTAAATTTGTTACTTTGCTTTTATTTTACTTGCTGTACTCCTAAAGGAAGTTGGGTGTTTCTCATTATCAATCCATTATAGATGGAGCCCTTGAGATCTTAATGTAATTCTATTGAATCAGAACCTCTTTCTCCATTGCAAGGTACTACTTATTAGCATAGTAAGTTTCTCCAAATGCTTATTTGTTGACCATGGGCTTAAGTTATTTGTCATCTTCTCTTCAGGAAACTGCCAGGCAGAACTATGTAGATTTGGTATCCAGTTTGACTTCTTCTGAGTCCTCCAGCCAAGTGAAGCCTGGAGCAGACAGGGAACAACAGGAATATGAAAACCTAGTGGTGACCTCTGAAGACGGCATCACAAAGATCATGTTCAACCGGCCCACCAGAAAGAATGCAATCAGCACCCAGGTGACGTTTCCTTCCCTAGAGTTCTCCCCACCCCCCCGCACCCCTGCCCCGGCTATTATACTCAAAAACTATAGTGTTTCAGCATCATTCCTGTTTTTGTAATATATCATTTGATTTTTGCAGAAAGGTTAGTAATTGTGGCTGCTACTTCACACAAAAGAGGTAGGCCTTCATTATTTAGAATTTGTGAGCTTCAGGTAGGTTCTAAATTTGTGAGCTTTAGGTAGTTCCCCAAAGGGAACTACAACTTCCCAATGATGGAAGCACAGATAAATCAATATAAATGAAACATACATTAATGTGAGAGAATGTGTGTAGAGGTTCTCTAAGGTTGGCATAGACCAGTGATGGCGAACCTTTTGAACTCCGGCATGTCAGCATTTTGAAAAACCCTAACTTAACTCTGGTGCCGTGTCACATATAGAAATTTTTTGATATTTGCAACCATAATAAAACAAAGACTTATATTTTTGATATTTATTTTATATATTTAAATGCCATTTAACAAAGAAAAATCAACCAAAAAAATGAGTTCGCGTGTCACCTCTGACACGCGTGTCATAGGTTCGCCATCACTGGCATAGACCATCCCCAGAAGTATTTTCATGTCACTTAGGCTTGAGAGTGAGCACTGCTCTACCTGCATGAAGCTTTATTTTGTATAAGTAGAGGGAGAAAGGAGAGCAGGACTTCATCTAAAATCAATTATAACCCATCTCTGCTTGAAATGTGCTACTTCCCAAGAGCAACTTTAGTCTTTGAATCTGTCATTGAATTAGAATGATAATAAAAATAAGCACTTTAACCATTTCACCTTGAAAAAAAATTACAGGGAGTTAATTGGATGCTTGGTGCTGCACTAGAAGTGAAATTTGAGAGGGCTCTGACCCCTTTCATTGAGTTTATCATTTACATCTTAAATAAGAATTTCATGAAGTTGGATATATGCCATTCAATTAATAAAACATTTGGTTCTCAAAGCTGTTTTTCCTTTTATCCTGACTCTTTCTATATTATCTTGTTAATAATAATAATACTAGCTACTCTTTACAGAGTCTAGTATGTGTCAGCCGTTTCCACATTCCCACAAGAAGCCTAGTTGTTCAAATTCACATAACAGATATGGAGGAAAACCTAACCCAAAACCCTGATATATCCATCTCCTAATCCTGGCTCTTGCCAGTTACCCTGTCCTACTGTGTCATCATAACTATAATAATAATGGAATGACTTCCTTATTCCCTTCCTCAGTGGAAGGATTTTACGTTTATTCATGTATTTTGAAAAATTCATACATATTTTTCTAAGTGTCTTTGTATCTGTAAATATCAGCCTTCTTCATCATCTTCTCCTGCCTTGAAGTCTATCTAAGGTAGAAACTGCGCCTGCTTGAAATGCATTAAAAGTGATAACAACTACACATCTAGTATTTTCAGCGATGTTGCTGATTTAAAATATTGGGCCTATTGTCCTTCACTATCCTTAGAGTGTGTTGGAAATCCCAGTCTTTTAGCATCATTAACACTTCCCAGACTGACTCCCTGGGCTACTCATGCTCTTTCTTGAGGTTGTAGTTGAAAAGTTGCTTCAAGGAAATCTTTCTCTGGCCACTTCCCATCATATCCACCCTAGATAAGTATCACGCCTTCTCTGAGTTTCCTGCTACTTTGTACTTTCCACCCATTTTAGAGCAAACCCCTCTATTCCAAAGGCTCAAGGATTGTGTCTTATTTGTTCACTTTTGGAAAAAGCATCCACTATAGCTCTTGGTACATATACAAGCAATCGTAAAAGGAATAAAAATCCCTTCAAGTGTATTGGGCTGGCGTTTTGATTATTTAAATACAACCAACATAAGTGTTTGGCACTGTGCAGAGAGCAGGCTTGCAGACTGACATTTAGGGAATCCATCCCATAATGGTTATCATCTTCCCCTTTTCATAGATGTATCAAGAAATCATGCTTGCACTTAAAGCTGCAAGCAAGGATGACTCGACCATAACTGTTGTAACAGGTAAGACATTTTCTTAGATTCCTTTTGTTTGTTTGTTTTTAACAGGAGAAAATCAAAGTGTAATACATGGCATGGGGAATTCACATAGATATAAATCAATGAAAATTCCAAAGACAGTGAGGCAACATTGGATATGTAAGGTATTTTGGCAAAGGGAAAAGGGGGAGTAACAGGGTATTAGAGTTCAGCAGAGAGACTGGGCGATTTACAAGAAGTTGAGGAAGAGCAAAACTTTTCTTAGCGTTCTTAATTAAATTTCTATTTTGGGGGATTTCCTACTAGATAGGAAATTGAGTACATAAGCTCTAAGATCTTGTCCAGTACTAAGATAATCTAATTCTTAAATATATGAAAAATTTAATAGGCACAAATTGGTATTTATAAAAAGCAGATACACATAAGTAAGGAAAGTATTATTGGTACTAAAATTGGGTACTTGCCAATAATAAGTGAAAAGTAATCTTGGCAGCATTACTTTGTGAAAACATTCTAAATATGTTGCCATAATAGAATAATGAAGCAAATTACAGAACATCCACTAGACTGTATATTGCACAAGCATTCAAAAGTATAATTCTAAAGATCAACAGTATAGAAAATGTTTAAGATATTAAAAAAATTAAAAATATATCAGTATTGTGATTATACTGGAAAATAAGATGGATGCCCATGGGCCTGGGCTGATGAAAACATGGAGAATGGAAGTTGTTGGATTTGGAATGGGCATATGCATAGTGGGGACTCAGATCAACTTGAGGTAAATCCTGGGTTCACTCCTTACTCCTGTGGATGACCTCTGCTTCTGAACGGAGAAGACAGTGTTTTACTAACCCCATTGAATGGATGAGATGATGACATGAGATAATGCAGGTAAGGGGCATGGCACACAGCAGACACCTGTCAGAAGTAGCTGTTACTGTTTGTAGGCATGGCAGAAGCAAGAGTGATTTTATTTTTAAATTTTCATTACAATTTGTAAAATAAATAATTATCTAGGGATATCAGATACGTCTCAGTAAAAAATAGAGGGGGGGAGAGAGAACTCTAATAGCTGATTCGAGGGAGGAATAAAAGGGAAGAGTTGAAAATGGCCCTCGTATTTCATTTGTATGCCCAGATAATTTAAGAGAATAAATATAAGAAAAGGAGTCTAGAAATAGCATTGGTTTGATACTGGAGAAAAATGTTTTATATTTTTTAAATGAACTATTCTTAATTAAAGTAAAATATAGGTACATGGTATTTTTTAAAAAAACACAATATGAAAGTTACATAACAAAACCAAATCTCACTCTCCTTGGAACCCCAATCCTGCTTCCTAGAAAAACTCAGTTTTCCTTGATGCCTTTCAGAAAGCTGTCTAGTCTATGTATATACAAGCGTGTGTGTGTTTGTTTCCCTCCACTTAAAAAAAACAAAAACAGAAAAGGAAGCATATAATACACACATATTATACCCACCTTCCTTTCTTAACATTTCCTGAAAAATTGTTCTGCCAGTACATACACTTCTAAGTTTTTCTCTTCAGGACTACAAAGTAATAGTATTAAATTTTTTGGATTTCATAATTCATCATTCCACTATTGATGAACATGTAGATTGTACTTAGTCTCTTGCTATTGAAATGGTGGTGTAGTAAGTACCCTTGGATGTATGTCTTAGAACTAACATGCAAAATATAGGCTGGATTCCTAAAAGTATGATTCCTAAGTTTAATAACAATGATAATAATGGTTAATATTTATATAATACTTTCTGTTTTCCAGGCACTCTAAGCACTTTAATTATTTTTAAAAGTTTTCTTTTAATTTCTTAATATTTTTAAGCTTTCTCGTAACAAGCCTATGTGACTAGCCCTATTATTACACTAATTAATAGGTAAAAAAATTGAAAGATTAAGTTTTGATAAATAGTGCTTTCACTCATTATTTTCTATATATTTTCCACTTTTGGTTTCTAATTCCTCTTTGATCTAATCATTACATGATAATATTCCTTTAATTTCCAGAAAGTTTGTTTGGGGGTTTCCATTTCTGTTCATTCCTAGCTTTATATATTATAATCAGAAATAATCAGTTTTACTAATTTTACTTTTTTAGAATCTATTAAAATTTAGTGTATATTACTATCTATTGAAAATTCTATCTTGAAGATAAAGAAGTAGAAAATGACCAATTTTTATATCCTCCAGGAGCATTTCAACAGTTCTGTGCTATTTTATATATGTGATAATGTACAATATAATATATGAAAAATAATGTTAAGTAATACATTTATTCTTTTTTTAATTCTTTTTAATCCTTACCCAAGGATATGTTTATTGATTTTCATTTTTTAGAGAGAGGGGAAGAGGGAAAGAGAGAGAGAGAAATATCAATGTCAGAGGAAACATTGATCGGTTGCCTCCCATATGCACCTCGACCAGGGATAGAACCCAGAACCTAGGTATGTGCCCTGACCAGGAATCAAACCCGCAACCTCTTGGTGTACAGGACAGTGCTCCAACTAACTGAGTCACCCAGCAAGGGTTATCATCATTTTTAAGGTGTAGAATTTAAATTGTCAGTTTATATTATTTTGATTCCTCAAATTCTGTTTTTTCTTCTAATGACTGTCTTGGATGGAAAAAAATGAATTAAAGGCATCTATCACTATTGTGTTTCTGTCACTTTCTCCTTTGTGTCAAAAAAAAAAATAGGCCCTGACTGGTTTGGCTCAGTGGATAGAGCGTCGGTCTGCGGACTGGAGGGTCCCAGGTTTGATTCCGGTCAAGGGCATGTACCTTGGTTGCGGGCACATCCCCAGTAGGAGGTGTGCAGGAGGCAGCTGATCGATGTTTCTCTCTCATCGATGTTTCTAACTCTCTATCCCTCTCCCTTCCACTCTGTAAAAAAATCAATAAAATATATATTTTTTTAAAAAGGCCTTTGTTTTAAAGCATGTTTTTATCTTGATGATACTAAAAGATTTATGGTTAGTCTCTTCAATATGGAATTTATCCCTTATTGCCAACTGGCCCTCTGGCTCATTTAATGCTTTTTGCCTTGAAATCAACTCTGTCAAATATTAATGCCATAACACCTGCTTCAGTACTGTTTTCACTTGTCTGTAAACCTTTATTGATCTTTTAACTTGACACTTTTCTGAATTATTTTTTATTGGCTGTTTCATATAGCACATTTTTGGGGTTTTCCTCCTCTGATCGTATGTGTTTTTGTTGTAAAGGTTTGTGTATATGACAGATATGTTGGGTTTTAGTTCTGGCATCTTACATGCTGTCATTTATAATGCTTCCTTTAATTGTTATTTTTTACTTGATAGTCTGTGTTTCTCATTTTGCTTAGTGTGTGTTTTATTCCTCACCGTTTGGAAGCTTTTTACTGCTTTTACAGCTTTATGTGGTGCACATAAACATCTCTATCTTCTATTACTCCCTTCGGGCAGTATCTGTTGGTTGCCTCCATGAAAGGTGAGGAAGTGAGCATGAATCCCCTGATATCCCTAAACCTCTCTCCAAGTGTATAATCTGTTAAATAGAGCTCCATTATTTTCTAGCATCAAATGTTGCTGGGGAGATATTTGAGACTACCATTAATTTTGGTTTTAGTCCTTTAAGATCATTTTTTTTCTCTAGATGACCATGGGATACTTTCCCATTTTTTTAAATCACTTTTTCCTAGGCAGTGCACATCCTTTTTAAACTGATTATTAAGGCCTTATTTTAAATTTTCTTTGATAATATCTCTGAATATTTTTGTTTCAATTGATCTGTTCTCTTTGAAAGAAATTCTAGTTATAGAAAAGTAATGTTTGGTCTGTTGGATCTGTTATCTATTATTTTCTCTGAATTCTTAACTCTGTTGTCTTCCATTTGTTTTGCTCAGTTGTCTCAATCCTGTATTTCAATGCCTTGATTGCATTTTTAGCAATGTCTCTTCTCCTTTTACTGCTTCTAATGGCATCCTTTCTTTAATGATTATGGTTTTCTCTTTCATTTTTTTCCTGGATCCTCTCAGGCACCTTTTCATTTCTTTCTATTGTCCATCACTTCTATTTTGAGTCCATAGGACAGCTCAGCTCTTAATGTTTTAGGTAGGTGGGAAGGTGGGTGGATGGATGGATGGATGGATGGATGGATAGATAGATAGATATAGGATAACCATAAGCTTTTTTGGGAAAAGATTTATTGCTCGGAAATTTGTTGAAAATACTATTTATGACACTATTTCCTTCTAGTGGAAACAAGGAAGAAATTGAGGAACAAACATTATGTAGTAATACTGCTGAAATTAATACAGCTCTTTGCTTCTCATCACCCCACATATAACTGTGTAAAGCCCTGCTTATAAAACAAACATGTCCTTTGAATCTTTCCTTTGAAACTGGCCCTCGAGCCCATGTGATCTCTGTTTTTGCTTAGGTCTCCACTGACCATTATATAATTAAATCCACATTTTCAGGCTTTATTTGACTTTCCCTCCTTCTTAAAGCTCTGTCTTCTCTAGGCTGTAGGGGCACAGCCTGCCCCTGGTTTTCCTCCTGTTCCTGGTTGCTCTCTCTGATCGCCTTTGCAAATTCATCTTCTATGTGGCCACCAAATGAAGTATTCCTGAAGGTTTAGCCCTAGGCACTCTTCCCTTCTTGATCTGTGTTCTCCCTGGACCCTCTCATCCATGCCTATTATTAAACTTCAACAAAAGTCTTTAGCCTATGATTCCCATGTCAGTATCTTTAGTCCAGGATGCTCCCCGGGGTTCCAGACTGGTATGGGTGTCACTTCCCACATCTCTACGTGGGTCTTTTTTAGTGTTCCAAATTACAGTGGTGGTTCCATATGTACCATTATGTAGATCAGAATCCTAGCATTAATTTTTAAAATATTTTTATTGATTTTAGAGAGGGAGGGAGAGGTAGAGAGAGATAGAAACATCAATGATGAGAGAGAATCATTGATCAGCTGCCTCCTGCACACCCCCCACAGGGGATCAAGCTGGCAACCCGGGCATTTGCCCTGACCAGGAGTCGAATCATGACCTCCTGGCTCATAGGTCGATGCTTAACCACTGAGCCACGCCGGCCAGGCCCCTAGCATTCATTATTAATACTTGTCCCTTCCTCATCTTCCGTGTCCAGTCTAATCTCATTTCACTTTATCAATATCTCTGGAAGAATCGATCTTTTTTTCTTTCTGTCTTCTCGGCACTAGTCCAAGCCACCACGGACTCAGTCTGAACTGAAGTAAGCCCATATCTAGTCTCCCTGACTCCCTTTTGCCTTCTTCTTTCTCATGCCCAGTCCAGTCTCCTCACTACATTCAAAATAATCTTTTCCAAATAAAAAGCTATTCCTCCCCCATTTAAAAGTCTTTAGTGGCACTATGGCGCTTCAGTGGAGAAAGAAAAATCTTTTAACAAATGGTGCCAGAGCAACTAAATTTCCATATGGGGGAAAAATAAATTTCAATCCCATCTTACACCTTACACAAAAATTAATTTATCTAAGCATAAAACCCAGAAACATAAAGCTTCTAGAACAAAACAATATCTTTGTGACTTTGGGAGAGGCAGAGATATCTTGGACAGGAAAACAACAAAACAGCATTAGCCATAAAAGAAACAATTTATAAATTAGACTATCAAAATTTAAAATTAATATAAAGTTACAGGCTGGAGAAAAAAATATTTGCCATCTAAAAATCTGATTAAGGACTAATATTCAGAATATATAAAGAACTACTAATTAATAAGATGAACCGTCAGATTTTTAAAAAAATATATTTTTATTGATTTCAGAAAGGAAGGGAGAGGGAGAGTGAGAAACAATGATAAGAAAGAATCATTGATTGGCTGCCTCCTGCACGCCCCCTACTCGGGATGGAGCCAGCAACCCAGATATGTGTCCTTGACTAGAATCAAACCCGAGACCCTTCAGTCTGCAGGCTGACACTCTACCCACTGAGCAAAAACAGCTAGGGATGAACGATCAGATTTAAAAACTGGATAAAGACTTGACACTTCATAAAAGAAGTGAAAAGGTTCTCAATATCATTAATGAAAGAAATGCAAATTAAAACCACCCTGAGATATGTCACCCACTAGACTGTCTAAAATCCAAAAACAGACAATATCAAATATTGGTGATGATGTAGAACAACTGGAACCCTTCTACATTTCTGATATGAGAACACTTTATAGTTATTAGTTGGCAACTTGTTATAGAGTTACACATCAGCTCAGTGACATACCAATGCAAAAATTCAAGATAAATTAAGGATATATCTATAAAAAAAAACTTGTACAAAGAACAATCATGGTAGCCTACTTCACAGTAGCCAAAAACTGAAAGCAACAAAATGTCTATCAAGCCCAGCCAGTGTGACTCAGTGGTATAGTGTCAACCTATGAACCAGGAGGTCCTGGTTTCATTCCCAGTTGGGGCACATTCCCAGGATGTGGGCTCGATCCCCAGTAGGGGGCATGCAGGATGCAGCCGATCAGTGATTCTCTCTCATCATTGATGTTTCTATCTCTTTCTCCCTCTCACTTCTTCTCTGAAATTAATAAAAATATATTTTTTAAAAATGTCCATCAATAAGAGAATAAATGATCAAGTTATCCTAGTATATAAAAAAGCCAGGGGCTGTCACAACCGAAACAACCAGATGGACGACCGAACAGCAGGCTGAGTGGGGCAACAAGGCTGGTAGGGGGATTAGTGAGGGACGACCAAACGACTGAACAGCAGGTTGCGTGGGGTGACCAGGCCAGCAGGGGGGACAGTTGGGGGTGACCAGGGTGGCAGGGG